TGCAGACTGTAACATTCATCAATCATTTGTTCAAATTTCAGCATCTGTTTTTACTAAGAAAGTAAAGTGGGAGTGGTGAGAGTTGGGTGTGGGCGATGTAACGTTGTGTACCAGTCCCCATCTGATATTTTTTTTTTCATTGTCTGATCAATGATTTTATTTGGGCTAGATTAGTTTAATGATGATTATGTATTTCCATAGGTGTATGTAGAAGTTTTGGGCTTGCTCGTATCATTTTGTATGTGGAATCTTTTTTTAACAAACTTTTAACTTCTTTAGTTCCACATTTTCCTATTGTTGGAATACTTTCATAGTAAAAACAGAAATGCTGAAATTTGAACAAATGATTGATGAATGTTACAGTCATAAAATCTTTGCACCAAAGCATTATATATATAATTAAAAAAATGTTAAATTTACTTCTTTTGGTTATTGAAGTTGCTATAGGTTGCTAGAATCATGGAGCTGAAGGTAGTGGGGATAATGAATTTGGTTTGTAATACAACCTTGGTATATTTTCTGCTGCATTTCATTAGAAAAATGCATATGGCATGAAGCAACCAATATACATGTATGTGATCACTGTGCAGTGTGTTCAACATCACCATGGAAAAGGAAACTTCAAACGACAATCCTGTTTCAACCAGCAGGCATGGAGCCAGTACAGTGAAGAGGATTTATTCAAAATACTTTCAGATGCTGTCACGCCATTATGGAGATTACCATATCAACAACAACTACAATTAAAATACAGTGTGAATCAAGATATTCTCAGACTTTTGACTCAGAGAACTCATTACATTGGTGATAGCGAACATTTGGACTTTATCCAATTTTCCAATAAGAATGATGGACTACCTTGTGTTATTGAAAATACAAAACCATCTGTAAGTATTTACCAGGTATACCATAAATATTAGCTAATATAGGTATCAGGCAGGAGTGAAAGGTCAATTTGGTTCTAAAATAGGCGTCTAAAACAGTTGGAATTTTATAATATATAAGTTATTGTACTACATGTAGCAATATTAGTTGCAGACATGCTTTATATAAATGACAGATATGATAAATACATTTTTTTTTTCATGTGCACTTCTGTAAATTCTGTAATTTATACTTTGGCTTTTGCTGACAATATTGAGAATTACTAGCCCACAGTGACAATTGCAGGTGGAAGGGGTGTGGCTACAACTCAGAATTTTTTTTTTTTTATATATATAATTTTTTTATAGAAATTACCATTTTAGAGCAACTGAAACAAAACAACATAAATGTGTAAGTGAGCATTCCGCAGGCACATTATTGCGATGCAAGACAACAATATCAACATTACCCTGGCCAAGATCAATATTTGTTGTCAATCATTCATTGACCATACAAAATACTGTGTTATCTAATTATTTATTTTTACTTTCAGCCACAAACAGAAAGCACTAGGAACAAGTGTGAACTTTCAGTTGGAGTAGGTTACCATGGTGACAGGAAGACAGTTGGTTTCTTTATTGGACAAATGCGAAGTGAGTGTTATGTTGTCAAGTTTTCTTTTTACAAGACTGACAAGAAAAATGATGTTCAGTGCAGTCCAAATATATATTGCCAGAGGCCTATCAGATTTCAAAACATTAACCTCTCCATTGAGATTGAAATCCAAGTTTTTCTAATTAACTTCTAGTCAGTATGACAGTGGCTCTTCATGCACATAATAAATAGACACAGAAAAAGTTGCCTATAAATTATTTAATAACACAGAAGTTTAAGCAATAATTTCACATATGTAACATGTTATTATTGTCCATCTTGTCAGGCATGACATGGAGCCATTTTGACCATACAGAAATGGTCAAAAATCAATTTGTATATTTAAAACCCTGGAGCAATTAAACCATATTTGTTTGCACACAGTGGTACAGATCAGTACCAAAAACCACATAAGTGCTGTCCGACAAGAAAGGTTTTCCGAACAGTGTCATCTGCATCAAAAACAAGACTAATATTGTGGTTTCATTTTTATACAAAGTAGTTCATTTTGTTACTTTTACAGTGACGCATTACTTCTCTAATCGTAGGACTAATTTGATGCCAGCAAATGATTTTATAGAACCTAAAAAAAAAAATCACTAAATAAACATTTTTGCATCAAATGAGTAAATGCAGGATATTATGTCCAGATCACATGACCTAAAAAAATTAGAAAAAATAAATTTAGCTTTTTCAATAATTATGTTTTTGTTAATTATTATTTAGTTTTATTGTCTTGATTCAAAAAGCTAGGGATGGATTTTTAAGCTTCTTCATATAGTCATTGACTTTGTTGTTTACAAATAGAACAAAATACAATGTATAATGAAGTGGAATTCATTTTCTGTTTCCCTTTCATCACATAACAGGTAATTCATAAATTCTGTTTTAAGCTGGAGTTTTTTGTTTTGTGTGACTACTTGTTTCAGTCTTCGAAAATGGTTACCTAATCAAAGTTTACTTAATTGTTCACGTAATTCACTATTTTCTAACTTGGTAAGGTATTTTTCTAGTTTAATGTCATAATTGAAATTTCTGTAGGTTCTTAATTTATACTTGCTGCCTGAATATTTTGTTAATATTTGTTATTGCCATTAATTACTAGAGTATTTCTGTTTCAAGTATATAGTGAACTGTTTCTCTGGATAGTTATTGTCTCTCTTATCTGTGCACCTGTAATAGTATTTTTAATGTGAGCTTGGTTGGTGTTGTCAGTTGTGATTCCACTGCATCGTACCGTTTGGTTAGACTGTCAACAGTCCTCGTGCCTAATGTAATTGTGTATCCTAGACATTCCCGTCTGCAGGCTTCTAGTTGATATTTATAATTCATAGTTGATGCTGACGTAACGAAATAAATTATATTAACATAATGTATGCAAATTTATTCTAAATGTGACTGACCTTCTGAACGCGTTGGTTGTTCACGTTATGAACACAACAAATACAGTCACTCCAACCAAAACAACAAAGAAAACTATTAAATTGCATTGTTTGAGGCAGTCAAATAAAAAATATAGAAAACCAGAGGAGACTGTTTCGTGGGATCAACTGAACTACAACATGCAAAAAAATCAAATTTGTTGTGACAGAGATGATCGATTTACAGCTTGCTGGTTTGTACCGGTGCAGAAAATCAGGGCTGTGAGCATCAACTCTGCATAAAAACATGGATGAGTTCAGGAAGAAATTTTAACAAACTAAGCGAAAATTATTGGAACGGTTGCAGACATTTTCCTGAAAGTGGGGGATCCCTGGTTTCGAAACGAGTTCTTTTTGACAAGACGAAT